GAGAGAGAGAGAGAGAGAGAGCGCGCGCGCGCGCGCGCGCGCGAGCGAGCGCACGCGCCAGGGATTTAGCTCAGCGGTGCTGCATGTGCCTCACAAGTGCAAGGTCCTGAGTTCAATTCCCAGTGCTGCAAACAACAAAACAAGAAAAAACTTGCCCTTGAAATCCAAATACACAGAGTTCAATTTAACAATTCAACTTCACAATGGTGCAAAACCCAACCCATCCAAGCATTCTATTTTTCACTTTCAGTACAGAAATCAGTAAATTACATAAGAAGCAACACTTTACTGTAAATATGTTTGGTGTTAGAACATTTTACCCAGATGTTAAAGCAAACGTTCTGAGGGCCGGGGATTTAGCTCAGTGGTTCTGGCGCCTACCTTGAAAGTTCAGGGGACCGAGTTTGATCTTCAGTACTAAAAAGAAAAAAAAAAAAAAAAAAAAGAAACAACTATGCATCTTGTATTTATCAGAAGTTTGTTCTCTTTTGGGCCGGGGATTTGGCTCAGTGGTTCCGGTGCCTGCCTCACAAGTACAAGGACCCAAGTTTGATCCCCGGTACCAAAAGCAAAAATAAAGCAAATGTCCTTGATCACCTTTAAGGCAGGCTGGACTGAGCTATGACTTTTGGGAGGCTAGATAGATTTTTCAACTTGAGATGACCTTGTTGGGCCATAACCTCATCCTGCGTAAGACCTGGGGCTTGGCATGCCCTGTCTGGAAACCTTGGAAGTCACGTAGGTCCCTTTGTTATGTCACATTGTCCACTGAGTATCACATCTGCTGATTCTGCCTTGAGAATCTCAAATCTAGGTCTTTTTCTTATTTCCCTTTTTTTGTTTTGTTTTGTTTTGTTTTGTTTGAGACAAGGTCTTACGATGCAGTTCAGGCTGGCCTCAGATGCACAGTGATCCTCCTGCCTCAGCTTCTTGAGTGCTGGGACTATAGCGCGTATTACCATATTGGGGCTGCTGGATACATTTTAACATTTAATTCAGAAGGACCACAATGAGATATTCTTCAGTTGTTTTTGGTATCGGAGATCAAACTTGGGTCCCTGCCTTCAGTTGTTTTTTAAATGCTCTGCCCTATTTTATTAAAGTGCCCTTGTTTTAGTCAAAAGCCCATGTCTTATTTTTCCCTCACTCCTAGGGAGAAGAAATCCAGAGATGTGCAGATTTCCAATTTTTTAAAAAAATTTTAATTATTTATTTTTTGGTTTTTTGAGACAGGGTCTCACTATGTAGTGGAGACTGACCTGGAACTCACTATGTAGCTCAGGCTGGTCTTGAACTCACAGCGATCCTCCTGCCTCAGCCTCCCGAGTGCTGGGATTACAGGCATGCACCATCACACCCGGCTTTTCCAATTTTTTTTAAAGGTAGGCTGTGCCAGGCATGGTGGCACATGCCTGTAATCCCAGCACTTGGGAGGTTGAGACAGGAGGCCAGCATAGGCTACATAGCAAGACTCTGTTTCAAAAAACAAAAACAAACAAACAAAAGACTATTAAAAAGCCACATAGTCAAGGGTTGAGACTAATGAAATCAAGTTTGGTCATTCCTAAGTGAAACATCTTTTTTACTACAAATGTGTGTTGGTAGAAAACAAGGCACGCATGGGCTGCTGCCTTGATTTGTGCCAAGTTGTCAGCCATTTCACACCCAGTGCTTCTGCACGATCAGCACAGAAGTCAATGTAAATATCCTTGTAACATAAAAATACATATGAGAGTTGGGCATGGTGGTGCACACCTGTAACCCAGGGGTCTGGAGACTGAGACAGGAAGATCACTTTAAGTTCAAGGCTAGCCTGAACTACATTAGCCAGACCTTGTGTCAAAAATACTAACTAGGAGCCAGGCGTGGTGGCATACACCTGTAGTACCAGCACTAGGGAGGCTGAGGCAGGAGGATCACTGTGAATTCGAGACCAGCCTGGACTACATAGTGAATTCCAGGTTAGTCTCAACTACGTAGTGAGACCCTGCCTCAAACAAACAAACAAATACTAACTAGGGCCAGGGATTTAGCTCAGTGGTTGAGTTCTACCCCTGGTACAAAACAAAAACAAAAAAAACTAAGTAAAATTTTAAAATAAAAATATTTTTTATTTTAAGGGCCCCCTGAAAAGGTTTTGGGAACCAAAGCAGTCTATGGACCACTTCGTGAACTGCCGTCTTAGATTGTTAAGGCCTCATGAAGTAAGAAGTCTCACTTTACAGAGGAACAAACACATTCTGAGACCGAATCATGTGCCCAGACTCTGGGCTGCTGAAAGGCAGGACTGGGAAGGTTTGATGTGAAAGCCGATGTCCTCAGGCAGCCCCTCTGCATTTTTACCACTGCCCCTTCCGCAACCGCCTTCTGCTGTCCGGGCTGTGTTCGCTGCACAGGTTCGTTCAGAGCTCTTTGTTTTCTCTCCCGCTGAGCCTCCCTGTAACTGCAGTGCCTACCTCAGGGTCGCTTTTCTTCTCTGAGGGATCACGCATTCTGCTCATACATCTGCTTTTGGCATCAAGCATATTATTTTCATCTGTCAACTTCTTTATGGCTATTATTTTGAGACAGGGTCTTGCTACGTAGCTCAGGCTGGCTTCCAGCCTGTGAAGACCCTTCTGCTTCAATCTCCAAGTGCTGGGGTTACAGGCAGCCACCACTCTTGGTTGGTTATTATTTTAATGTCTTTTAAATTTATTATTTTTCTTTCTGGAGATTGAAACCAGGGCCTTCCCACAGAGCTACAGCCTCAGCCTTTTAAAAATGTCACTAAATTCATCAAACTGGGTTTAAACTAGCAATCCTCCTGCCTCAGCCTCCCAGTGTGGTAGAATTACAGACATGCATCACCACGCTCAGCTTTCAGCCCAATATTAAGTTATTGCTGCCTCACAGAGTACACAAAAATGTTCTGTCTCACATTAGGGTTAGCTGTTATGCAATGTTTTAAGTTCCTTAAATACAGAGACATTTCTTACTCATTACAAACACAGAATGCTCCCTGTCACCCTCCTTATCACATACTGTAAATTGCTGAGTATCTTGCTCCAAACATAATTGCGTGGCATGGGTGGGTATACTATCTCCTTTATTACACCATGATATACACTATTTTGAGGAATAGGAACTTTGTTTTCCTTTCCAATTTGTCTCTCACCTTGTTTTGCAAATTTTAGCTATTATTTTGTACAGATCTTTTAACAAAATGAGGTTGATTCCATTAGTACTATATAGCAGGGTCCCTGTTCTTAAGGGGTTTACCCCTAAAATTAAATGTACCTTGCCAGGCATGATGGCGCAGGCCTGTAATCCCAGCACTCAGGAGGCTGAGGCAGGAGGATCGCTGTGAGTGTGAGACCAGCCTGGGGTACATAGTGAGTTCCAGGTCAGTCTCAACTAGTGAGACCCTGTCTCAAAAACAAAACAAAAAACAAAAATAAATGTGCCTTATTATCAATACAAAAATAAACGGTGTCAACATTCTCAGAAGAGATGTAAAGAATAATTATTTAGTTAGCTTCTGAGTAAGGCAGCTAGCCAGGGGAAGGAACTGAGACAGTCAGGTGACCAGCCATATGATAAATGGACAGTGAACTAGGACTTTGGACCAAGAATGAACTCCCTCAGGCCATGTGGAATGCAGCCCCACCCCACTAAAGGGAAGTGTGGCCCCTCCCTACAAAGCTCCTGAGTTCTGAGGAATTTAAAATAAGTAGGTTTTGGGTCAGGGATTTAGCTCAGTGGTTTCACTGCCTACCTCCCAAGTGCAAGGACCCAAGTTCAATCCCCAGTACCAAGAAATTAAAATAAAATAACTAGATGTAAAGGTACAAGATCCCAATGATGAATGTAACTGTGTTATATACTTAAAAAGTACCAATAAACTCAATAAAATAAATAATAAAATAACTAGGTTCCCCCCGCCTCTAAAATACCAGTCTGCTTTAAACCCTACATGCTGAAGAAGTGGGTTAGAAGCCCAAGTTCCAGTTGGTCATACTGAATCGAGGCAGCTGTCTCCGTGGCCACTGAACCACTGGGCAGTGCCCGCGCACTCTGTAGCCCTGGGTGGGGGTGGCGGTAACACCCATCAGGGTTTCCCTCCAGGAAATGCGGGAGCTAGTCTTTTTTCTTTTTCTTTTTGGTACTGGGATCGAACTCAGGTCCTTGCCCTTGTGAAGCAGGCTGCGGCACCACTGAGCTAAATCCCCGGCCCTCATCTTATTCCTTCCAATAAAACTCTCCTGGCCTCTTCCTTTGCTCTGCGACTCCATTCCTGACACGAACCGATTTACAGTTGCAGAGACTGGAATCGGGATGGAGCAGGACGTAGGGGGACCCGCCTGTCACCCCACCTACTCGGGAGGCTGCACAGAAGGGCCACTAATCCCAGGCGCGCCTGGGCAGTTCATCAAGGCCCTGCCTCCAAGTGAAAAGAGGGGGCACGGTGAGGCATGCCTGTCCTGGTACTGAGGAAGGCTGAGGAGGATGGAAAGTCAGAGTCCTGTCTGGCAGTTTAGCAAGACCCTGTGTCAAAATTGTAATTACTGACGGTGAGGCGGTGGTGCATCTCTGATCTCAGCGCTCTGACGGGACAAGGTGGACAGACGGGCAACTGGAGCCCAGCCTGAGCGATTGAGCGACTTAGTGAGACTCCGTCTCAAAATTTAAAAAAGACGTTGGAGACTCACCTCCGTATGGAGGCCCTGGGTTCAAACCCGGGCACCAGAAAAAAAAGGAAAAAAAGTGGCAGCAGCAACAGCTGGGCCTGGTTGACGGGCCTGCGATCCCAGCACTCAGACGAGGTCTGCTTGAAACAGGCGGTGGCGGAGCGAAGTCCCTCACCCCGAGGGGCGGGGCCGAGGCTGCAGCTCCAGGCTCCGTGGGTTCG